ATGCTGCCCTAACAATGGAGACAGTGTCGAGCTTGCCGTTGCCATACTATGGGTTTATTGTGATGCTTGCACTGTTGTTTTTGTACATGATTCTCCCATTCTGCAAACAGGCTTTGCTGAAGAGAGTGACAGCTTGCGTCTGGTTAGGAAATTGAAACATCTCACTTTTCTTCAATTACCTCAACAAATAATCTCAATAAATCTATCCGGTGCAGGATAGCTGTGGAGGATAGCTGTGCAGATGTCTGAGCCTTAATGGTGCAAAGCCAGGTTTTCTATAGAGGCACAGTTGAATCTGGTGCAGGCTATTGTGAAGTAGCCCACAAATATACGGTCAATTCGCTTTACAGTCTATTCTGTGAAGTGCTTTGAGACATCGAGAAGACGTGAAAAGTGCTATATCAAATGCAAGGATTATTATTATTATTATAGGTACAGAGAAGACAGGGAAAGGAGGTCCATGGCTACACTGGAGAGAAGGGAGTTGTGGCAGGAGGTGAAAGGCTCAACTACAGTATTAACTGAAGAAACATTCAATTGTCAAAACGTACAGAAAAAAAGCAGTCGCTTTCATTATCAACCCAAAAAAAAGCCAAGTCTAATCTATAAGAAATACTTAAATAATAATAATCCTTGTGTTCGGTATAACGCTTTATCACGTCAGAAGAGCATCTCAAAGCGCTTCACATGATATACTGCGAATGAAGTGCTTGTATTTGTAGGCAAACATGGAGTACAATTGCTTACAGCAGAGGCCCATAAACAGCCATGAAATGAATGATCAATTTTATTTAGGGGATTATCAGCCAGGACACCAGGAGAAACTCGCTTCTCTTTTTGAATAGGGCCATGGGATCTTTCAACATTCACTTGAACAGACAGATAGTTTATTATCAAATACAATGATTATTATTGTTATTAAGGTCTCATCCAAAGGACACCACCTCCAACAATGTAAACCCCTCCCAGCACTGAATTGGAGTGTCATCTTAGACTATGTGAGTTCAAATCCCAACATGGGATTTAAACCCACAACCTCCTGACTCAGAGACAATTTCACCCTCAAATATACAGTCAATTCACTTTAGAGTCCATTCTGTGAAGCGCTTTGAGATGTCTAGAAGACGTCTATATCAAATGCAAGGATTATATTATTATATTATAAGAGTGTTACTGCTGAGCCAAGCTAACACACTTGGATCCATCCAGCAGAAAAATTGAATCCTGAATTATTCTTTCTCACAAGTCTTTTTCTGGTTGTTTGGAGTTTGTAATTCCAATTTTGCAATCCATTAGCATTCCCCTGCGTTACCATTGGATATATGTTCTCCTCGCCCATTGGGATAGTGAAGCAACTGTTCGAGACCACATCATTCAGCATACAGTAAATTACTGCTATCTTCCCAACGTATTGTTTAGTTCTCCAGCAGACGCTAAATATTTCTTCGACAAGAAGCAGATTTTAAATCACTTCAGCAGGAGAAATAGTGGTGGAGGGGGTGGAGAGGTTCAGCGCAGAGTCCCAACCAGGGCGGGGTCAAAACATAAACCAAATATCGAAACAATAGTGACAATGTCAAGAATTAAAAATAACAGCAACAACATGATGTTATATAATAGTCCTACTTCTATCCTCCCTGTCCTTAAGCTCTCCTGCTTCTAACCCCCAGCTCGAGTGCAAATCCTTGACTATCCAGCGCCTTGGAACATCTTCTCGACATGAAACGCACTGCGTAAATGTAATTTGTTGTAGTTGTTTAGTTTAAGTTTCTGTTTAGGCTTTAATTTTACCTCACACTAAAAGTTACAAGCATCTCAGAGGTATTTCTAAAACCTACCAGGAAAGGACATATTCCTCTGTGTTTTTTTAAGTGTTCTTTTAAGCATGTGAGTAAATTGTCGGAATCAAACTGTTTGGCTGGGAACACAAAAATCATTCACTTGTTATGGTCGTTGCTCGTAAATCATGGTTTACACCATTAGAATTGCTGAAGGATTGTAATTTTGTTCCCAATGAGTGTAGATATGTGTGGTCTTGGGATAGGTAGCAGCAGCTTTGGGAAGGGAATGAGTAGTAGTCTGGGAGATGAAAGTGGCAGCACATTCCGTGGGGATGGGAGTGGATGGGGATTGTGTGGGAAGAATTCTAATCAAGTCCAATTAGGATCAGAAGTTTTTCTGATGACAGCTACATCAAAACCACATTGGGCCTCTGTTTTTAATTTAAAATAAAACACATTTGTACAAGCCTATGAAAGGGGAAAAGAATCAAAGTGTTGTAGGACAAGATCATAGCTTTTCACATTACTGGAAAATTATACCATCTGTCTCCACCCTTTCACAGAAAACATTGGGAATTGTTCTGCTTCGTGAGCTCCAGGTAGCGAATCTGCTGTGGGATAATTGTTATTCAGTTCATTACATTTTGTGAATATGGCTCTACTCATTTAGAAATAACAACTGGGAAGCAATTGTACATTTCAAAGAACTTGTGATGGTAAATTATACATTTAAATTCATATTTTATCATAATAATATTTCTTGCAGTTCATGCAGTGCCTTTAAGCACCATCGAGACATCTCAGAGCACTTCACAGGATTTCACTGTGAAGTGTAGTGACTGTAGATTTTGGAGGCGAAACGGGACAGCCGAGTTGCACACAACAGTGTCTCACAAACAATCCTGAAGTGAATGACCAAAATTGCATTGAGTTACTTTCTAAGTACACAAAGATAAATGTACTAAACCGACTGAATTTGTTAGCTGGGGTGGCAGGAGCCAGATAACCCCCCAATGCCACTCTTTAATTATTCCAAACAACCATATCTTAAGTAGTTAATTTTTCTGCACATATTGAACCTATATTTTCCCTAAAACAAATCTTGAAGGTACTGAACCCTTTTTTAAAAAAATTATAATTATTCCTTAATTTGCTCTGCCAAAAAACATTTGTCCTGTTTGTGTTTGATTTCATGCCAGCTGTTTGGTGTAAACTGTATTCAGTTTTAGTCTCTCCACTTGCCACTATTCCACTTTAAATTCAAAATAAATAGTACTGTATGTAACATGATTTTTGACACATAATGACAGATTACGAACCAAAAATTGCCTTAATCTAGACTGAACCATTTGGTGCCAGTGTTTATACTCCACATAAGTTTCCAGCCATTCCTTAGGTATGTGTGTGTGTGTGTGTGTGTGTCTACAGTGGGATTGGCATCGTTCAGAATTAGCAAACATAAACATCGCTTTTCTCCAGTCTCAGTAGCTGGAGTCTTAAGCATAGGAATTGGTTGCCGCACGTGGGTGACCAAAGCTAAATCTGCGTCTCATGTCAACATTTGTTTATTTTGCTATTTACGTTTGTTTTATCCCATTGTACGGGCTATGCCATGGAGTTGACACAGAAGATTAGTACACGATTGAAAGGAACACAGAAAGAGTGCAATAAATATAACCTCTTGCAAAAGAAAATAGGGAGCGAAACAATGTGTTAAATGTTCCCATTTCCTGCTCAACAATGGACTTGTAGACCTGTTTGAGTTTGAGCAGATAATATCTTTGTTGCCACCAAGACAGGTAATTCTGATATGATCTTTCTGAATGGTGATGGTAAGATGGGTCAATAGAAAGGCTTCATTCAGTGTATAAACTGTCAGAACTAATGGGTTTGTCTCTTTCACTGCATCATTGCCATAAGTGCAAAATAGGGGTGATCATTGCAAAAGAAAATATCAGGCTCTAATTTTCAGTACTTTGTGATGGGATTACATGATCAGGAACCCATGTCATGCAAATGGAGACTCCGTCTAGTAACTGGAGTACGTTGTGACGATCAACAGGAACTTTTAACACAATCCACATCCAGAACTGGGTTCCCGCGGAACAACAGGGATTTCCATGGGATTCTTTATTCAGGAATACATTAACAAATAATAAATTAGCATGCATAATCCTTGCAATTGATATAGCACCTTTCACATCAGAAAGAAATCTCAAAACGCTTCACAGGATTCACTGTAAAATGTAGTAACTGTATTTGTTTTTACAAGCAAACGTGGCAAATGTGACAAATTGGTGCTGTATAACGTTTACCTTCCCCACTGAAGGTCAGCTTTACATATGAGAAATCAATATATCTTGGACACATACGGTATCAAGTTCATTTATTGAGGGTAGATCTTTACAAAACCAATTGCACCATGTCACCCTTTTCCACAGCTCAGCTCGCAGTTTGATGATGTTGGACCTGAGAAGTAACCTTTATCCTTCACAAACTGAGCAGCATAAATATAAAGTTAGCAAGTGGTGCTTAATGTCATCTCACTTTTAAAACAAAGATAATTTCAATTCTTGACCATCTCTGCTGTCCAATAATAATGGTTAGACCCAGCTACTAATAAAAAAAGGCTATTAATTATAGGAGGCAAAGGCAACACAGACCACCATAGATGTGCTAACTGATGTAGCTGTCTCCAGGGTAAAGAAAAGTTCATATACTAGACAATCAATTTAATTGTTTTTGGAGTGCATTGCCAAGACAGGGAGTTCATGGCTGACTCTGCGGTAAAGCTGAATGCTTTAAGAAATTCAACAGCAGGAAAAAGTGCTGCTAGCACTGGTCTCATTTGTCTTCCTGAGACAGTAAAGCAAGTTAATAACCTAACAAAGAATTCTTCTTAGCGTTTAAACCTGTTTTCATGGAGATCCAGAGATTACACACACAAATCACTTCATAATGGTGCAATAAGAGGTTTTTGTGTACAATACAATGTCCAAGTCAATTGTGACGAATGCCTGGTCCCAACATGGAGAGTTGTTTAAAGAGAAATGTTTTAGAATCTTTTTGTGTGTTAGTCAAGGGGAGGGAAAAAAAGAAAACTTGAGTTTTGAAACAAATTATCCACATGAAAAAAGACCCTCTCCACTGGGTTCCAGATGAAACAAAATGAGAACATATTTAACTCTACAATTCTTTGTGTTTTTCATTTAACTGCAGGGTGGAGATGAAAGAGGACTGTTAAGCCTTGCATTCCATCCCAAGTACAAGAGAAATGGAAAGCTCTATGTGTCTTATACCAGCAATCAAGAACCATGGGCCATTGGACCTCACGATCACATTCTTAGAGTGGTCGAGTACACAGTTTCCAGGTACCCAATTAACAGTGTCAGACATTTCAGCTGCTGAATGCATTACGAGCATTTATCATTTAGCACAATTCAGTACAACATTATCATCGCCTGTGCACCTCTGTTAAGTAACATATTGCCGCAATGTGTGCGAGCGCTGGTAGTCAGTGATTCTATTTTGCGCTTTCCTGAGACAGTGGCAACATTCGCTCTTTTTCTTTAAAATGTTATCCTTAAGTTTTAGACATGATACAAATAAAGCCTGCCACTTGGCTGGGGTTTAGCAGATTCGATTAGATCTATTTCCTTGATTACAAAGTAATCTTTGGTAAAAGACAATTAGTTTGTATTAATTAATTTGGTATAAGTAATCTTTGGTATAAGATAGAATGCACACCATTCTATCCCCCATAAATAAAGGGCTATCATATCTGTTAGCATGGCTTAGATTTTCATAATACCACAATAGTGGCCATACAAAACATTGGAGCATTCCATAGATGTTTAATCAAGTGCAACCTTTTAGCACAACAGTAGTAAAATGTTATATTCAAATGTTATGCAATGGATAACATGTAAAGTTTTATATATCTTAAATACAGTTTTGTGAAGCCTCAGAGCTTCTTACCATTTACAGAGTCACAGAATTTGATTGTTTCAAAGTTCTCCTGTTTTGGGCTTCCTCTCCTTCGTAGATTATAGTAGCTAACATTGCAATGTTGCAGAATAGCCTTCATGTCAATTCAAGTCAAAGTAAAATGTCTTTCCATTTAATAGGTTTTTTGAAAAACGCTCTTGGATTCAAAGGAGCACTTAAACATTCAGTCACCATCCAGATCAAATTTTGAAATGAAGTGATTACAAAGAATTATCTCTGAAATCCTTTTGTCCGTTTGCATCCTTTTCTGTTGATCTTATTGCATATTTTTGTTCAGCCATTGAGTGCCAAGGAGGGCATGAAAGAAACTTGGAGGAGTGACTAAGCCTTGTCATGTGAGGGACGCAAATTAATCATTTGAGGTGTAAATGCTTAAGCTACTGTGAACTGGACAAATTTAATGCACCTCAGTCACACCATAGGCCTCTGGCTGTGTCAGTGTAATCAGCAATAACTTTTTAATTTTTTTTACAATACCAAAATTATCAACAGAAAGACAGATTGAAACTGGAAATTCTTTCAAGTTTCAGACATTCACACTTTTAATATCAAATGTCTGATATTCATTTTATCTGGTCTACCAATAATAAACACTATGTCTTCAGGAGAATGCTGCATTTGAAATGTTAGGGGTAACAAAGATGTACTAAGAAGCGTATCATTGTAAATTGTACACAGGAAAAATGCAAATCAAGTGGATACGAGAACAGCAAAGGTATTGATTGAAGTGGCAGAGTTACACAGAAAGCACTTGGGTGGACAACTGTTGTTTGGGCCCGATGGTTTCTTGTACATCTTCCTCGGTGATGGAATGATTACCCTGGATGATATGGAAGAGATGGATGGGTTAAGGTAAATGGATTAAAAAAAATGTGGATTACTTTGAGAAACTCTGTCAACACCTATGCACGTATGTTCATCAATGTCCATAGATATGTTCATCAATGACCCAGAGGATAGAGTTCAAAATCCTCATCCTTGGTTTCAAAGCCCTCCAGGGCCTTGCTCTCTCCCTATCTCTGTAACCTGCTAATTCCTTACCAACCAGTCCGCTGCCTCCACTCAGCGACTCTGGCCTGCTCCATGTCCTGTGCCCTGCATCCCCACCACCGGTGGTTGGGCCTTCAGCTTTTCTGCCTCACCCTTTGGAACTCCATCCCAGGGTCCCTTTGCCTTGCCCTCCCTCTTCGACCGCAACTTCGGTCACCCTCCTACCTCCCTGTCCCCCACCCCTCCTAATCCCAACCCCCACCTCGGGTGCAATTTCTTGATTGTCCAGTGCCGTGGGACATCTTCCTGACATGAAAAGAGCTATGCAAATGTAATTTGTTGTTGTTATTATCCAAGGAGTTAGCTTAATTCATTAAAATTAAAATCAGATTGCATGATATTCACTCATTCTTTTTCGTTTCCTTTTCTTATGAGTTAGCTTGGCTCAGTTGGTAGTGCTCTTGGCTCTAAGTCAGAGGGTTCAGTGTTTGAGCCTCATTTCTGCAACTTTGCACTTGCAGTCCAGGTTGATACTCAAGTGCCTAACTTCCCGGGCGGGTGGCAGGTGAGGAGGGAGGGAACAAGGGAAGGGAAGTCTCCTTGAATCTGAAACAGAATCTACAGTGGCTAATTTCAAGCTCTGAGATCATGCCAGACAGGGTAGTACAGAATAATGAATAAATCTGCAGCAAAAATCAGTAACAGGCTGAGTAAACGTCAGCCGTGCACACAGGCAAAACTGTGCAAGAAATACACTCTTCCCATTTGTGAATATGAAACCATTCCAACAGATTCCAAATAGCAAGTACAGTCTGTGTGAGGCTGGGAGTGGACACACAGGGAGCTATTAAAGTGGAATGTCCTTAGAAAAACAGGTTGCTACAGAGGAAAGTTTGAAGCAGAGGACACAGCCTGGAATTAGACATGGAAATATTGGTGTAAAGTTACTACGAGGCAGTATGGAATGGTTGTAGATTAGACTTACCCTTTCCCCAGGAGCAACACCAGAGAATGTGCCAGTAAATTGAATGCAGACCACCATTAACCTACCAGAGTGTAGGTGTTGCCCTGACTATACCCATTTTGTGTGATCCGTTTTTCAGTCAATGGCGCTGTGTTAAATGTCAGATGAGTGAGACCACCCGAGATAAGTGGTCCTCTAGTTTTATTTTCCTTGTAGAGAAGCAAATCATTTGCATTGGATGCCAGAAATACCAATAGCCAAGTCCCTGTGGCATTCCCAACTAGAACTATGAACTATAAATCCCTGAGCAAAGAGCCTCTTATCCTTCTTCAAATACACAGGCCTATTTATGTCAAGCAAGAGGCAGTGTTCACATGGAGCAGGCTGTGTGGGTTGCAAAATTAACCTTCATTGAAAAAGCACAGGTCAGTTTGGGTTTACAGTTCAGATCACTGCTTTATGTTTGCTTATTAGCCCACATTTAGATTGTAAATCAACTAGGGGTAAAAAAAATTCAGTCTTCGTTTACACAGCAATTATTTTTCCTCTGTATGTTTTTCTATCTAATACTTGCAATGTAATCTCTCCAGTGATTTTACAGGCTCCATACTTCGAATTGATGTAGATACTGACTCCTGTAGTGCACCTTATGCAATCCCCCGAAGTAATCCTTACTTTAATAGTACCAATCAACCACCTGAAATATTTGCACATGGACTTCATAATCCAGGCAGGTACGTGTACGCTTAAGGATTCCTTGGATAAACGCAGGTTAGAATGATTGCATATAAGATCCAATTTTCACTTCCTATTAGTATAAAATTTTGTCAATGCTCACGTAAATATAGAAGAACTTTGAGTCGATCTCCAGACGTGAAAGGCGCTATATATCAAATGCAAGGATTATTATTATTGTAAAGAACTGTTTTGAAAACATGCGTTAGGATGAAAGGGGAGAACAGCATTTCAGGAGTCCTGTATCTTAATGGTTAGAGTACTCGACTCACAAGCAAAAGGACCCGGGTTCGATTCCCGGGCAGGGCAAAACGTTGGGCAAGTTTCCTTACTTTCCTTATTCCACACGCCTCTGTTTCCCGAGCAGTAACTAGGAACCCGGTTGTTAGTCGATTGGTGGATCACTTTTCCGGGGGATAGTAATTCCGTCAAAAAAAATTTTAAAAATCATATACTGTAAAGTGAATTGACTGTATATTTTGTGGGCGAAACACAGCAGCCAATTGCGCACAGCAGTGTCCCACAAACAGTCGTGGATTGAGTGACCAAATTATTTTTTTTAAAAACGGATTATTACCCCTCCTGGAAAAGCAATCCACCAATCGACCAACAACTGGTTTCCTACTTACTACTAGGTAAACAGAGGCGTGTGGAGTAAGGAAACTTGCCCAGTGTTTCTCTCTGCCCGGGAATCAAATCCAGGTCCTCTCGCTTGTGAGGCGAGTGCTCTAACCACTGAGCTACAGGACTCCCTTTATAGTCCAGTTCAAATGGTCAATTTGAAGAAGGAACATTTACCTGGAAAATTTCTCCTGACTTTTAAAGGCAGGCAAAAGTGCTTGTGGAGAGAGTCAAGCCGCTACCAACACAAGAGCATTACTCAATACCCCACACTATACCACAATCTCTTGGTAGATGAGGCTCCCAGTCTGTAACTCCTGAGCCTGATGATTAATAAATGATTAAATCAAACCACCTTGTATTTTTCAGAAATGTTTGCTAAAGAAATTCTTCTCATTCACGAACATTTTTAATTCCACTGCTTTTCCCTTGTGTAGGTGCGCAGTGGATCAGTATCTCATAGACTCTAATGGCAATCTGACTATACTTTGTTCGGAGTCAAATACTCTAAATAAATCCTCAGGAAGAATAATCAAGATAACAAGGGGAAAAGACTATGGTAATTGTGAATCCCAAAGCATATTTGTTTCAATACACATAAAATAAATGTCCAATGTATATACATATATATTATGCCAATTGTTTGAAGAGATTATGTTATTATGACGAGATTATATGTATTGGATATTATTTTTTTCTCCTCTTTGACATTACTACATTGTGTTTGGTATAATAAGTTCATCCGATATTTACAGTGCTCCTGTTCGCTATTGCTATATTTCTTTTTAGAAACTAACGCTGCGGTAGTTTTTTTGCAGAAAAGGAATCTCCAGTGGTTAAGTTTAAATCTTCTGGTCACAGTCCTTTAGTGGGTGGCTTTATATACAGAGGATGCCAATCAAGAAGGCTCTTTGGAAATTACATCTTTGGAGACCGAAATGGGTATGTTCACAAATTTACTCACAAAAATTGATAGTTAAACATCATGCGCTAAAATTGAACTCAGTCTCATTTTCTGTGGGTTCTTTTTGGACTGCTTTGAGGCCATTACACATGATATTATAAAATTGTGTCAGATTATATCTGCTTACCACTGTCATTATAACATGTGCCTGGAATTACTTCAAAATTCAGTCAGAATCAAGTCGATCCTCTCTGGCGGTCTCAGTAGACCAGTTCCTGGATCAGGCAGGTCTGCAGTACTCCAGAGCACATCATCAGCAGGATTTGGAAGGGCAGACAAGGAGAAGGGATTGTTGCCACTCCTCTTTATCGTACAAACCAAAGCCCTGAAGCTCCTTGGCTGGACAAAGAGCACAATGTTTGCCAGACAGTGTTCTCAAATGCATGTTATGTAGTGTTAGCTAGTTAAACTTCAGCCATACCCTCAACACACATCTCAGTGTCCCCAAGCCTTAACTCTTACCAAACTGTGCCTTATAATTTCTAGAATTAGATAAGCAGTATGTGGCCCTTCCAGGAGAGAGTACTCATTCCATTCCAGACACAGGGAAATTTCCATGTGTAGGTGGCATACATTTGTGGAACTCTCACTCTGGCTTGGATTCTCTTAAGACTGGTGATGGCCTTCTGCACGTCAGATCGGGCAAAACAAAAAAAAATCTTTGGCAATGTCTCTATGGGAATGTCTGTAATATTATCGCTATGAAAGCCCATTCCGCCATGCCTCATAAAGTAGTGGGAGGTTTTGACAGTGCAGGAGGAACAGCAACTTTGATGTGTGAATGTTTAAGCTTTCTTCATTGCCCAGCATGCCTTTTCAATCGATTCCCTCTGTACCAGTATTTATATTTTATAAATGCCTCCAGATTTGAGGTGTGCCTCCCAATTTGTTCAGGCAATTTGGGTAAGGTTGGTTTCCTATATTAACAAAATGCAAAATACTGCAGATGCTGGAAATCTAAAACAACAGAAGTCGCTGGAAAAACTCAGCAGGTCAGGCAGCACCTATGGAGAAAGAAAAGTTTTTTTCCTTTCCTTTCTCCATAGATGCTGCCTGACCTGCTGAGTGTTCCCAAAGACTTCTATTTTAGTTTCCTATATTGTTCCATTGTATGTCTTTTGGATTGAAAGGTTGGAAATATCATGCTTATTACTTTCACAGCTCCACTCAGTTTGCCAAGCTCATGCTCTTAGCTTTTATGTTAGTCAAGAGGTCTTGGAGTCTTAGCCATATTTATACTTACAGCCTTTCGCCAGTATTAAAGTGGTATTGATCTCATAACTGTACAACTCTGCCAATATAAACCTTCCGTGAGCTATAAAAACTGCTTTGACTGTGGTATAAAACTTACCACCCAAGAGTTGGCTTTCGGAAGGCATCAAACCAACATTGTGTAGGTAAGAGTACCTGTAGCACTGAAGCTGGTGTGGACATTCCATGACATTCATGCAACTGGCAGTAAAGTAGAACAGATTGTAATATCTTTTCATAATCACTGTGGGTCAGTAAAACTTAATACTTAGGAAAAGTACATCTGTGCTTATTGGGGAGAGTGGAGTTCCTTGCAATTAAAACAATATTTTATTTTCTAATAACCCCAGTAATCCACATGTGTGACCATTTTAGCCTCAATAGATGACTCTCCCAACCCCAAAGTTCGTCTTCTTTTGCAGAAACAAACATAGAAGTGCAAGAACACCCGAAAAGAGAGGCCTGTAAAAGTGAAATGCATTTGCCATACAGATTGTTTCGGACTCTGGCCAGAATCCTATTGATGGTCTATGTCAATACTTTTGGACTTAGACTTCTCCCTCCACTCAGGGCAGTCATTGCTACATGGGTTCATGTTCTGTTTGTGATTGAAGTATCAATTGCCAAACATCCTAGTGAGCCAGAGTGACTTGACCTGCTTTGAACATTCCCAATTCCAGTTAACAAATTCATTGAAATATCCTTACGTTTAAAGTCTGTTGCGGAAGATGTTTTGCATGTTAAATTTTTTCGTCCCCAAAAAGCAAGAGGAATCCAACAGGATTTTTCAGATATGTTATGAAACAGCATTTGTAAAGCAAATACAGTAAAACTCACATAAGTCTGATCTATATATATGTCATGTTCATGAGTTCATATTCTATGCAAGTTTGACATAACTTATACTTTGCATAAGTCATATTAAATGCGTGATTCCAACTGATAATAACTTATGTGAGGTTTACTGTACAGTAGCAGCAACCTGTTTTTTTGCCTATAATTTCAGACAACTGATGAGCCTCCAACAAAACCCTTTAAACAAACAGTGGCAAGAAAGAGCCTTGTGCCTCAGCAGCAGCGCCATGTGCAGGAACTCACTTACTGGTCAAATCTGGGGAAGTGTTTTAGCATTTGGAGAAGATGAACTAGGTAATGAACTCTATATTTTGTCAGAGGTGCCGTCCTTCGGATGAGACGTTAAACCGAGGTCCCGTCTGCCTGTTCACGTAGACGTTAAAGATCCCATGTTACTACTCGAAAAGAGAAGTGAGTTTCTCCCGGTATATATTGTATTGATTGTATATTAAACAAATACTCATTATGTGATGGAAGATCACATGTGGGTTCAGTTTGCTAACAAAGCACTCAAATTTCTCTCGCATGGTTTATGATCTTGTTTGAACCTTGTTACATTGCTGCATTGTAATCCAGTGTCATCTGTCCAGTGTCCAATATATTTACTCTATATATAACCAACCATATTAATTTTCAACAGTGCTGTTGCTGTGTAACATAAATATGATTTACAATGTCACGAAGAGTGTTTCTAAAGAAGGCAAACAAAATCAGGAAAATATATATTGATGCCAAATATGGCTTCTGGATTTTTAAGGTTTCATTTGCAACTACAAGGTGATTCAAATGATTTGTTCTTAGACAATTTTACTGACTGTTTCCAAAACAATTTACACTTAACAATCACTGCTCCTGTAATTAGCTGCAAGAAGAGTATGGCAACATTGCAATTCATTATACAAATGTGGCAATTAAAGAAAATACTTTTTAAAAAGTATATACTGTATAAAGCTTTAATATTATTCATTGTACATATAAATAAAAATAGAACAAAATACCGACATTGGTACTTTGGCAATAACTCCCCAGAGAAAATTGGTCATTCACTTCACGACTGTTTGTGGAACGTTGCTGTGTACAAATTGGCTGCCGCTTTTGTCTAGAAATACACTGTCAAATACATTGTACAGTAAATTCTGTGAAGCCCTTTGAGACATTTTGACGACATAAGGTGCTATATCAAATGCAGAGATTATTATTATTGTTTCAAGAACAGAATAATCAGCGTTGCTGTTGTCCATCAATACAACGTAATCTGATGGTCTTTGACGCAGCAACATTATTTTGGGCTGCCATCAGCCCCATCTGCAACAATGTTGTATCTTTTTGTGCATCTGCCAAACAGTCTCAAAAAGTGAGTTTACTGTATTTTGGTAACTTCAAATTAATTTACGAATATTCTAAGAAAATATGAGGGAGGATCACATATAAGCAATTCTGATACACAACAAAAATGAAGTGTTAATGTAGCCTGACAAGTGTTTGGCAAGATCTTTTTAAAGAAAACTTTTATGAAGTAGTGAATCATCACATCTGTATCTATTGAAAAGAATTGGCCACTGTGCTGAGATTTCACAGATTACTCCTATTGAAACAGCTGTGAGTGTGGTTTTCTTTAATGGACTGACCTCACTGAATAATTATGGACATGCAAAGCTTTAGTTCCAAGGAGTAGCATTCATGTGACAAGCAGAAACATTTCGTGGGTAACTGTACCAATGTAAATATAGACCTATTTAAAATAACATTTTCTCAAAAATACCTTATAAGTTTTATGCAAACCTTTATCTGGTGACTCACATTTTTTTTAAAACAAGGTACACTATATATATAAATATATATTCAGTCTTGTCCATTAGTAAAAAATTACCTTGTAATTAATCAATGCTAAAATAAACTTTTGGTCAATACAGGATTCAGTATTTTAGCTTATAGAAAGGTAAACTTTTTGAAAGGAAATGAGAGAATCTCTAAGCATGTACTTAGATCTTATCTGAAAGTTTTTTTAAAAAGTGTTTTTTGGAAAGGGTTTTGTGTAATCCATCGCCAAATGGTAATGTTTTGCATTGAATGGAGGTAATGTTTGAAATCCTTTCATTTGTCTCTACAGGTGAGGTCTACATATTGGCGAGCATTAAGAGCAGGACTCAATCACCCAGTGGGAAGCTCTACAAACTGATTGACCCCAAAAGGTACAGCCGTAGCAAAATGCTCAGGGAGCGCATAGTTGTTCGCTTTAGGCAACACATGGTATCAATCTGCGTCATTATGTCTGCTTGGCAGCTGATATAAAGAGCGAGTGAAAACAATACAGACAGCACCATCAAACGCGTCAGTCACGATGGTAAAAAGATCATCTCGCATGTGTATTCAGTTAGCAGCTCTACAATAGGCCCAGGTACTCCAGATGTTGTGGTACATGAATCAAGTTAGTTAGGCCCAGGAATGTGAAAGTGACAGGTAAACTGTGATCTTTGGTGATTAAGAAATCATTTTTCAATCTTAAAAGGTACATTTATGAAACACCAACATTGTGAGGGCTATTCTCTGCTTATCAGGAAATTTACTGACTCCAGAATAAGAGTGTGTTGCAAAATTGGGAACTTTACTGGCAAGGAAATATCTTTATTTTTTATTAAAGAAGCCATCAAAAATACATCATCTTAGTCAGTTATCTTTGCCATTGGGAGAAATTAATATAGCAATTTAGAACGTCCAAACTTGGCAAATTCTTAAATAAGGCCTTCATTTTAAAGCTTATTTTTTTGTAAGAAATACAGAATACCTACGTAAAAGTTAAGTCTGAATTCAACAATTTGCCAATTTCTGGATCTCTAAAATGCTATGTTAATAGAGTCAATCTATTAAACCAGGTAGAATTTCATCCCGAGGATTTATTACATATGTATTAATGATAGCTGAAATCAGTCTCTGTTTTCATAACTTTAGTTCATAATGTTCAATCATGTTACCAGTTAACAGCTCTTGTCTCACCAGTCATTCAAACTACACTGAATTCAGGGTCAGTGATAATTCTGGCGACTCCTTAAAACTATATTCAGGCCCTCAGTAATTTTCATGCTGCCATACACAATGTGGGCAATGGCATTCCCGGCAGTAAGGCTACTTTGGTGGTATGAATGCTTATGTCATCTCATTTTAGAAATCTGAGGAGGTATTGTCTCCCTCTCAACTGCGGTAGTTACTACACTTCTGCAGTTTAAAAAGGGTTTTTTTAAGGGGAGAGTCTCTTTGGCTATTACATTCAACTTTCTCCTTTTACACCAATTTGCCACCCTTAATTCATTTATGACAATTCTATATGGAATTTTAGAAACTTTTGCTGACTTTATACTTCCCTAATCCAAGCCTCCTTGTGTGGTTCTGAGGTAGAAAGAGGAGACTTTGTGCCAACAATGATCTTTATGCTTGATGACAAGAATAAACAATTCAGTTTCAAAAGAAATTTGGCTTTCACTCCCTTTTCCACCTTTTCCCACCACCAACATGCGTCACATTAACTGGCAAATGTGTTTACTGCTCTTGAGGTAGTAAATTTGAACAACGTCAAGCAACATCTTTAGATTTTCATTTACCCATTGGCATTGCATTAAGATTCGATGTATTAGAAGATGCATTGTTGACAGTCAGATGGCGATGTACTTAATTAACACTGCTTATTACCTAAATACATCAACAGCTAATTCTCTGAAAATTGTAACTTTTTTTCTCCCCCTCCAATATTTTGCAAATTTGGCAGTGAATCTCACAATTTCAGTCCAAAACCAGAAGTCGCTGCAGTATTGGTGCAGCAATTTCCAATTTGCCTGAGAAGGTAAACTCCACAGCTCACTGAAATCGGGGACTTGTTCTTTTAGGACTAGCTGTGTTGAGTTGGGCGTCTTGTGCAACGTGTGTGGCCAATAACGGCAAATGACAAGCGGTTGACTCATCTCACATTTATGGGACACACAAGTTATATTCCATGTTTGTGAGATCACAGGCCAACCGAAACTACTTTGCCAAGAGGTTCCAGCAGATGGAATACAATCTACTGACAGCTATGTGCTGGCAATCTTTAGCAGCGACACATAGCATTAACCGTAGCAATTCATACCTAATAACTGCACATTCTAATGTTTTCCCCTTCTTCTGTCCAAAATGTACTACTTCATACTGGGGTTTAGTTCCATGAGTGTCAATTGTCTTCCAGTACCATGTAAAAATGATCTTCCTTTGGTTGTGACTATCTGCAGACTATTCTGTTATGGGTGGTCCCCCCTCCAATCCTGCCATTCATATACCTTTCCAAGAGGGAACACTACATAGTGTTCAGAAGCAGGGTGTTGACTAATGTTTTGCACTCTCCCTAGTCAAGGAGTAGTCAAGGAAGCTGTGGCCAATTGTAGTGCTTCCACCACTAGTAAAGTCAACAAACCTCAGATACAGGCAATTAGAATGAAGCACCTTCCTGGTGCATATGACTCAAGTCCACACAAGGCAGAAATTGTACCATGAGAACAGATCTGCCACTTAGGGTATTGTGCCACAAAAAAAGCTTCCTTAGTAGGCATGACCTATCTTTCCTACCAAGTTTTTAAGCATGCAGAAATGACCCTATGACAAGCATAGTGCTGTATTATTATTTTTTCTGCCTGTTCAGGTGAATGCTGAAAATCCCATGACACTATTGGGGAAAAAAAAGCCATTTCACCCAGTGTCCTGGCCAGATTAAAAACTGGTCATTTTTTTCTGTTTGCAGGGACATTGCCGTGCATAAATCGGTTGCAGTGTTTGCTTTCACACTCACACACTACACCCAACCGAAAACTCTGTGAAGGACTTTGAGATGTGTTGGTGTTAAGGCGCTGAATTAAATGCAAGGATTATTATCATTAATTAAATTTAGGATTATTAATTGATAAATTAGTCAAACAAAAACATGTGAAAGATAAAATAAATGTACAGTCCAAATTGAAGGGCTTTGAACACTACGCTTATTCCATTCATAAAGGAAATTAGGTAAAATAAATTCTTAAGTTTGTAATTCACAAATTCTGGCGTCTCCTTCACTACTGAAAGATGCAAAATGTTCTACTTAGCAGTACCTTTCCTGAAACATTTCCTCTCCATTGTCCGGATGAAGTGAGGCAGCCTTTTGCCCAAGAGAATTCTGGTGAAGAAGACGCCCTTCCTTCACCTTTAATGCTGACATGTTGTGACAAGACTATAGGCTGGTACATAGACAAGACTGACACATAAGTAATTTGGGACATATGTGCATGCTACCGCCAGGAAGATGGAAGGCAAACTAGACGAACCTTGGTCTTTTTTCATCTAGGATTTCTTATAGAAAGTACACAGTGGTACAAATATATAAATCAAATGCCATCATTACTGTCACTTGCAGTGCTGTTTCATTCATTTTTCTTATTGAGCTCTGTTACCTTGAATGGAGAAGACTGAGACAGATTTGATGGAAGTACTGTATTTAAGATTGTGAAAGGTTTAGAAAAATCTGAATTCCGATAAGCATGTCTGCTGTGTTCAAAATTCGCAAATAAAGTGCTGTACCTACCTCAAAATTAGGACCACTAAAGAGAGTATGGGAAATACAGGATTTTTTTTGAGTAAAAGGGCAATAGATATGTGGAACAAGCCAGCAGTACAGATGGAGGAACAAGGCAAACTACAAAAGGTTTTGAAGACAATTTCCTATCAACCAAAAAGGTTATTTAATTTGAAGATAGATGCCACACAGGATTCCATATTTTTGGAATTTTCATGGCTAGTTAGGTGGTCTAGTCTCTGAAATTGTTACTTGCTGTATGTTACTACATATTACACTCAAATGTAGAAAATGCTCAACTGCAGCCTTATCTACACTGAGGGATACTCTTGACTCCTCCTTTGCCTAGAGATTGAGATTCATTAGATAGTTAAAAATTGTAAACTCTAATCCTATGACTTACATGCCCCCAAGGGACAGGTGGTAACATCAGCTAAAATCATCAGTGAAGACATCTGTAATGAACTAGAAGTTCCACCTCTTCCTTGAGGGTCATTTTTGCGGATTTTTTACAGACTCATTGAAATAGTTCTTGGTTCGTACATACTTCAAATTCCCCGAATGACTCCAACTCTGTCAACTTCCATTTGGGAGTTTCTGACAGGATATTCTGCAATAAGTCAACCTAGCTAACACTAACAACTCTGCTTTCTATCAGTCATTAGACTTTGGAGGTAATTTTAAAACACAGGCAGAACACAGTGCACACTGTGTACTAGACTGATATTATTGTGAGCTTTTTTTTATTGCAAATTAACACATTTTGACCCTATTCAAAAAAAGGAGATTTCTCCTGGTGTCCTGACCAACAATCCTCAAGGTAAATTGCTAGTTCACTTCATGGGATTTTGCTGTACGCAAATTGACTGCCACGTTGTCTACCAATGCAGTGACTGAATTTAACAGCAATACCCTGAGTTGTTTTGACGTTATAAGCATTATATCAATTCTAACGATGATCAAGTTCCATCAGTTTCACCTTCTGCAGTTTTATGTCGCCAATCCCATTCGTAACTTTCATGTACTAGATTTTTGTTACCTCGGGGTTGATTGGGAAAACCACGGGATAAATCTTGTTGTAAAGTGGGTAAATGACTCAAGACGCAGAGTGGATCTCCTGCAAGGAATCATGTGTGTGTCATACCAAACCGCAAGAACTCAGTTCCACCCTGGCTTAGAGCCAGGTTTCTATGGGTCGTCAAGATGAACATGAGGTTTCCTGGAGGAAACACATTTTACACCCTGAAATGCCTTTTCTGAAGCACCATTTATGCTGCTGTTTTCCATTCAAGTGTTTTTCCAACCACCCAAAGTATCATGTAATTTCTCATACAAATCAGCATGTTTTTTTCAATACAGTGATAGCCAACAGTTATGCACTCAATTCCTGGTTCATTAATCCTGGTCATGCTCTCAGTCCACAGTTTCTTAATACGGTGTCATTGGTCTGTAATTTCCATCCGACAGTTGGATTTCTGGCCCTAGTTCTTCACTAGTGTTCCTTGATGGTTTGAATAGTAATGCGTATTTGCGTTCAGTAATGAATGCATTCAATAATGAATGCAAATAGCATAAACAGAGGCCATGACATTTAGCAAGAAATGGAGCCAGCAGAACCAGATT